TGGCTGTGTTTCAGTCCAGGTATTCTTTCGGATAATGGTTTGCCTATAAAAACTGCATCAAATTTCTCCCCATCCCTTATTACATCTTTCTGCTTTGCTTCTCCCGCTTACGGCCGCAGAGGAGCAAAGCAGGAAGAAAACCGTGGCTTATCATGACATGTGCATGCGAACCAAATGTGCAGACACAAAAAAATACCGTTTCGAAAGCCATTTCTCTTCTTTAAAAACATTTCTTACCACAGTGCGCCAAATTGGAATGTTCAATATAAAAGTCACATCTCAAGTTGAGGTTCTTCTTACACAACTTATGAAAAAAAACAACTATACACTAAAAACAATTATAAATAAAGAGTCTAAAAAGCTAAAAGATATGACAGGAGTCGACGTTTCCATAAGAAGACTCTGAGATTTCCACACCAAGGAGAGGCTACTTCACTCACACTGCAAGACAGGGGCAGCTTAATGTACACAGCACTCGAGAGAATAAAATTTCTTGCATGGCCAGTGTTCTAAATCTAGGAAAGGGACCCCTCTCACATGTTCCCCTCCAATGTGTTGATGATGGCAGTGTGGGGTTCATGAGATGTCACAGAGGGGGAAAAGACAGCTGCTGTTTCTAATTTCATGAGGGGTGAGTGGCTAGATCCAGAAGATCTAGACTGTGCACTCACAGAGCTAAAATATTTGAAGCCAGTGGTCTGGCCAGAATGGGGGAATGGGGGAAGCTGGTTTCAGCCTCCTGACTCTCCCTTTCCTGAGAAGCTTTTCCGCAGAAATGTAACCTTTCAAATGGACTCAAAAGCTGCATCTATTTGTAACGCACACAGGTCCCAATCCAGCTCGGACGTTACATATGGAAACCAATGTTATGTATTCAGTGGTCTGGGTTTGCCTGAGCTTGAGTCTGGACTAAGGATTCTGAGGCCCTGTGTTCTGATTCGATACATGATATCCAATCGCAGAACATTTCAGGATTTGGGCCTCTGCCATTGGCCATTGAACTCTGAGTCATGATTCGCAGCTTGGAAGTTTAGGCAGCCAATCATGTTGGGAGTGGGAGTGGCCCAGGTCTTCAGAAATGTATATAAGCAGTTGTTTTTGCCCCTGTTGTCCAGTTCTGTTAATTCAATAAAGGTTCTTGCTGTTATCACTGTGTCTTGCCTCGTGTGAACCCACCTACATAGAACACCTTTTGCTGGGTTGGGGTGAGAATCAGCAGCAAAACACTCAACAGGCCTTTCCTATTACTGCCTAGGGAAGAGGAAGTTTTTTTCCCTAAAGCATGCAACTCATGTGCAAAACAGTAGAACCGAGTGCAAAAGCCTTTCCAGAATTGTATCACTTCGGAGAGCAGGGACTCAGCTATGCAGCTTCAAATAAAACATTTTAGATGTGTTGTAAAGTGCAATATACACATATGACACTAGATGGCGAAAGTGAGCTATGCAAAATTCAATGTGTTTGTCAAAACGTGTGTGGGGTTTTTTTTAAAAAAAAAAATCCACAGCATTTTTTTTTATACATGTGTAGATTTCACCGGGGTGGAGGGTTGAAGGTTTGCAATAGACAAAAGTACCAGTTTAGGACCCAAAAAATTGTACCAGTAGCAGATCTGTTTGCTTAAACCTGGACCTGTAGAAATCGTGTAGATTTAGGAGAAATGGAGAATGTACCGATTAGGAGTACATCCAAAGTTTTAGCTTCTGGCAGCCTCCCTCCTTCCTCCATGGCTTCCCCTCACAAATACTGGAAGTGAACCAAGTGGGAAGAAAACTGGTTTCCAGGGATCTGACCTCTGCATGTTCTTTTTGCTCCTAGCCTTAGACCCATATACACCACTGTCTATGTCTAGGGCTGGCCGATATCTGGTTTTCAACATTGTGATATATCAGCAGCTAAATATTGCAATATGCTGATATATCATGATGTCTGGCTCTCGAACTGTCAGAAACCAGTATCGTGATCTGAACACCATATTGGACAATTTATCACTATATCGCCCCGCTCTATCTATGTCATTTCAAAATAACTGGGTTTCTACAGAGATCTTGATAGCAGACATTCTGCTGCCACATCTAGCTTGGTCTCTACATTACCTTTCTTTCCCTTATTCTGTTTTTCAATGTGCAAAGAGGGTTTTCTTTCACGGTGAACCATGTGTACCATCCATCCAAAATGAAATGTTACAGTTCAGGAAAAGTTTCATCACTTTATTCTGCCAGTTGTACAAACTGACCTTAAGTTCGACAAACTGCCCAGAATGAAATTGACAGATCAGGACTCCCAACTCTCAAAGAAAGGAGCTCCGTGTTGGAACATAAAGAAAAATGCAATACTAGTAATGATCTTCTCCTTTTTGTAAGTGTAACTCTGCCCAGTCTCCTTTCAGTGTTTTTAAGTTGAGACCCTCATCCAAATCTGTGTACCCTAGCCTCAGAGCATCAGATTTCCCCTCCTAAAAACTCAATATTGGACTAGAGAACATGTCTTTTATAAGCTTTTATGAACACCCCTTCTAAAGGTAGATGATGCTAGAGAGAAGGAGGTAGATGAGGTTCAAATAATATGGTCTGTGACTGAGTTCTCCAGAAACCAGATAAGCTGCTTGCCTCTATCCCAGAGTTATTGCAGAGTAACACGGTTTCACTTAAAAATAAGTTTGTCAACATTCTCTGACAGATATGTTAAATAAAATAGCAATGATTAAGCATAAAGACAACATTTTCCATGAAAAAACAAGCAATTAACAACATGACATAAAAAGAATATAGGTACAATGGGATTATGCCCTATCAAATTCAGTAGGAGGGTGAGGCATACGCTTAACAGTGCAATTCTGCATATTTCTACTCAGAAGTAAGCTCCGCTGAGATCAGTGAAGCTGACTTCCAGGTAAGTGGTAATATGAAAGCAGCCTAAAATTACAATGAGACTGAAAGTGCTTCGTGTTGGATGGACTCTGCCCTTTGTGCCAGGTGCAAGCCATTGTATAAAATCTGAATATTTTTCTTATATAAAACAGGTGACTGCTTTAAGTTATATAAAAGCCATATACAACCTCAAATATCAGTGGAACTATAAGATAGAAACCCACTTCTTTAAGAAACTGCAAGCAAAAATGCTAGTGTCAGAAAGTCTGTGCACAGGACAAAAGCCTCTTTTTTTAAAAAAAATGTAATACTGTTTTTCAGTTAAAATTTGCTTATGATTAAGCTTTCCTGAACGTGGTAGGAGTTACTGTCTAAGTAAATGTGCATAGAACTGAGCTGCATGATTGATTTCTCACTTTCATTGTAAATTATAGTGAAGAAAAATATGTAGACAAATTTAAGCACTTTTAAATAGCACTGATTTCAGTGGGAGGCGTTCCGGCAGAAACAATGGAGTTTAAAGGTGTATAAATCTGGCTGGTTCTGACTTACAGTTTTAGCTAGCGTATTTCAACATCATTTTATCGTCTCTGATGTGTTAACAAGCGGGAGTGACTTTCTTTTGAACCTTTTTAAAGGTCTGGCCACAGGTGGGCACTTCTAAGTCCCTAATGATCCCCACAGGGAAAGGTAAAATATTTCCCATGAGAACAACTGGAGGAGAAGAATCCTTCACTTTTACTTAATCTTGCAGATATAAATGTCCTCTTCATACTTGTTCCACCCCCTGAGATCAAAGCTTAGACAATGCCAGACGTATATGTTAAAATTTCCTGCTCAGTCTTAGCTAACAATTAAAATTTACCTCAAAGTATTTTTTGTCAAATAAATAAATGATGCACATCAGATGCAACTATGTTACATAAATCAACTGATGGTTTGGTTTTCCATCCACAGCTGATGACGCAGCAGTATGGTTAGGACATGTTACTCCCAGCCCCATAATATTTTCCAGGGTTTGATTCTCATAAGCCCCTTCCAAAATTCCCTTTGGAAAATGTCAGGTTGTCAAACACTTTGGCCTGGAATTCATTACAAAATTACAAGACCTAAAAAAGTGCAGTAATCTCAAAAGTGCTTTTTTGCATATGCTGCAAATTTCATCCATGGGGGTCTTAGTCTCGACCTGAACGCAATATTGCATGATACTACAGTCAAACCTCGGTTCTTGAACAGCTCCATTATTGTACGTTTTGGCTCCAGGATGCCTAAAACCCAGAGGTTTGCGAACGTTTTTCGGAAGGCTTGCAACCAATCAGAAGCCACGTGTCGGATATCGAACAGTTCGGAAGTCGAACAGTCTTCCAGAACGGATTACATTCGACAACCAAGGTTTGACTGTACTTGCAAAAATGTATTGCTTAAATGCTGGCTGTTGCAGACAGAAATCATAGGACAAGGTGCACTCTGTTATTGGGGTGCTATTTAGAAAGGCCAGTTTTTGCCATGCTCTAAGTTTTGGGTCACAGGAGGTTATTCCTTAGGAGCTCCTATGTCCCTGGCTATAAAAGAAAAATTATCATAGCAAATAGTTTCAAATCACATTCCGTTTTTATGCAATTTAATTTTGCCAAGAGCAGACGTGGGCCTCAATGGGAATCTCAATGGGAAACTCCCTTTGTTCTCTCTTCTGAAAAAGTGCTCTGTCTGAAGGAAGCCAGGTCTGTAATGGTGAGATCCTGCAATTGTTCTCTCTTTCTGAATTTGATCCTCAAAAAATTCAGGCACAGGAAAGACAAGTGCTCTAGAAAGTCAGGGCAAATGTCCCTATTTTCCAGGGACATTCCCAGATTTCCAGAAGCCGTCCCAGTTTCTGATTTGATCCCAGAATTTCCCACTTTTCCTGAGGACGACCCTATTTTCATCAGAGAAATCTTGGAGGGTATGGAGCTATGTGATCCCTGAACCAAGGAGATAAGCAACTATACAACTTTTAAAAGACATCTGAAGGCAGCCCTGTATAGAAAAGTTTATTAAATGTTTTATTATGTTTTTATATATGTTGGAAGCCGCCCAGAATGGCTGGGGCAACTCAGTCAAATGGATGGGGTATAAATAATAAAATTATGATTATGATTATGACTATTATTATTATAATAGAATAGGACATCCCTATTTTCATTGGAGAAATGCTGGAGGGTATGTAAATATATCCTGATTTCTAGCTAGAAGACACAAACTACTGGAAGCATCAAGCTAAAAATTATAAATTCCTATTCTTACACGCCCAGCTTCTTTCAGTAATATTTCTTTTTTTTAAAAAAAAGTTTGGTACCTTTAAGATTTTCTTACGATGCCCTGTGCCTTAACTTTCGAAACCGCCAGAAAGGAAGTGGTACTATCTCAAAGTTCTTGATGCAATGCTACTAATCACAGACTAGATCCCTTCTGTACCAATGTTGCCTTAAGCCCTGTGTACCTGATTTGGGGTCCACTGATGAGAAGCTGAGCAACCATAGCTGGCAGATGCAGTTTGGGTCTGTAGCAGTACTGGACAGGAGCAGGAAGGCCCAAAGGCCTGGCTATGGCACAGAGTCAGACCTTCACTCCAGCACTGTACTGCTGCCCACTTCCTGGCTCAGCAGACTAGAGGCAAGTTTCGTGCACAAGACCCCGGGGCTGCGTGTGTCCTTAAGTGTGTGTGTGTCTGATATTTTGGACTTGACTTCTCGCCTGCTCGCCCAAATGTTCAGCTACCAACAGAGCAATACACACTTTTCGCCGGGTGCAAGAAGATGGCATACGTTTCCCTCCTTCGCTTCTTTCCTCTCCCTTTACATTTTGCCCCCCGCTTTTTTTGTCCCTGAGCCCTCGGCTCTTGAAGTCCTGTCTTCTGCTACAAGGGGGTGGTGGACAAGTTCATTTCAGTCGCCTGCGGTGTCTTTGAAAAGGCGTTTTTCTCATCGGCCAGCGAAACTGGGTTTTCATGAACTTCCATCGCTTTCCCCGGCGCCACGCTTGCCACTTGTTCGCCTCCCCGGCGTTTGCAACATTTGCAACAGTATTTTTCACAGGTGGCGCCTGTCGACACCATAACCTCATCCCACGGGTCCAAGGACCGCATCCACAAGGGAAGGTAGTCCCAATTTTGCAGCTTCTCGGGCAGCTTCTCGGGCCGCTTCTTTTGAAGATAGTTGATGATGATCACAGCGAAAAAGAGAACCAGGATAGGAACACCGACACCCACGAGGTACTCCCAGCCGGCCACCGACAGACCAAAGACACCAACAGGAATCACAAGGAAGGCGATGAAAAGGTAAAAAATAGCAAACCACCTGTACTTGGCTGTTATGTTCCCCAAAACCTTGGACAGGTGGATGGGGATGCGCGTGAAAGGGATTGGGTACCACAAGAGAATCCCAGAAACATTGAAAAAGAAGTGGCAGAGAGCAATCTGAAAAGACACGAAATGAAGCAAAAAGAGAACTAGTCAGAATAACGTTAAAACAAATGTGACTTTTGTACAAACACCCTTGAAAGCACTGTTTTCCTCCCTTCATTGGATCCTCTCCTACTATTCCATCTATTATGACCTTCAAAACTTTTTTTAAAAAAATTAAATAATTATTTAAACACAATCAAAATAAGGGCCAAACTAGACATGGCATTGGAGTTTCAAGGGGAAATAAAACAATTCTTGCCATGGGGAGGATAAGTTGTATTGGTGCCCTGTACTAATTTTCCCAACTGGAGCTCTCCCCAAACTGTTATCTGTCCCACAGCAAACATACAGCTATACCTGATATACCAGGTATGTGTGTTTTAAAAAGCAAGCCAACATATGAAAGCCTATATTCATAATTTTATAAAATGAATCATGGTCATCTGTCAAATAGTCTGAGTTAAAGAACCATGGGAGGAAATATTCAACACATGAGGTTAGTCACGACATCAGACCATGGTTTGGCATTTCACGAACAAGCCTTGGGTGTGCATGTTCCCATCGTCCCATCCTTCATCCTATTACACACTTACATACTTATTTCCTGTGTAGCACACATTACATCTGAAATGGCAAACCATGGTTTATGTTTGTCCTCCGAAACAAAACTGGGAACGACATTCAAACCATGAGTTCCAACTCTGGTTTGGAGGGGAAGCACAAACCATAATTTGCCATTTGAGACAGGAAGTGAATCGGAGTGTGCAAGGGGAAAAAGGAAAGGGAAACAAAGGAAACAAGCAAGCCCAGGGCTTATATAAATGCCAAACCATCACAGGTTCAAGAATCTAAAAGATGTCATTCTGAACATCATCAGGGTCATCCAAAAAGTAAATATGGGCAACCTTCTATTCCTATTTTGTGCCCTCCAATGGGTGCAGTGTGTTCAAATAGCATAAGACATTTATTTTTATCCAACTTGGAAACGTTATTGTATAATGTGGTTTTCAGGAGAAAATAATTTCCTGCACAAAAACAACAAAGTAGCAAGCACCTCCTTTAGCATTTCCTTACTGACCCTTGCAGACATGGAGACTTTAAAATGAAACGTAGCAGAAAATATACACACAGCCACATGCAACATGTTCCTTCTCCCTTACACCTTAGTATAGCATGCTCAAGACTCTACTGGAGCCCCAGGAAAACAACTACAAGCTTATTGTTAAGTTCATGCTCAAAGGACTTCTCTGGATCAAAAAACCCCAAGTGCTAGAATTGCACTCACAGTTTTTTACATAAGAGATAAAAAAGTCCTGACTGGAGTAAAAGTCATGTTCAAATTCTCCCATTTACTCTCTGTTTGGAAATAATATAAAACAGAAATCACAACTAACCTGCAAGGAAGCCTTTAATTTGTTTCCCGGACTGGCCATAGCAGCAAGAATCGCTGTTGTAGTTGTACCAATGTTGGACCCCAAAGTTAGGGGATAAGCTCGGTCGATGCTTATAACACCAATTCCTAGTTGAGGGGCAAAACAACAACGTGAATTTATCATTATTCATGTGGCACTTTGAAGACTCTGAAGTGTCTCTTGTTTACGGCGTCCATTACGACGGCCCTAAAACTATAAGGTTAAGGGATAGCAATTTACCTACCACAACTTAAGACGGTCACAGCTATATTAAAACATTGCTGCATTTTTATATACAATTTTTTTTATTTTTTAAATTTATGTACCACCCCTCATCCAAAGACTGCAAGGCGGTTTACAACATAAAAAGACAGAATGGAAACACAAAGCAAAAAACAAAAACCCACCCAATCTCTCTTCTCCCACAAAGACATTTAAAAGGCCATGGATGGTTTAATCAGCCAAAGGGCTGGTTATAGAGTAGGGTTACCAGACGTCCCCGTTTCCCGGGGACAGTCCCCGGATTTGCGAATAAGTCCCCGGACAAATTCCATCCCCGGAATGTCCCCAGATTTCATCTAATGTCCCTGGGAAACGCAGCAGCGGCAGTCTCAGCAGCCCGGAGCAGTTGGCTCTGGCTGGCTTCAGGAGCTGCTTGGAAGTCCCCATATGATGGTGGTACAGCTTCTGGGCTGCCTCCACCTTCCCTGACCCCAGCAACTAAGCTGTGAAGGGAGGCTTCATGCTGCCTATCGGAGCAGCCTCCCAACTCCTACTTGCATGCAAGCAGGAGCAGGGCAGAGATCTCTCAACTGTGCAAGCAGGAGGGGGCAGGGACCTTTCAGTTAGGCAACAGGAAGCCTCCCTTCCCAGCTGAGGGATCCCCGCCCCTCCTGCTTGCGCACAAGTAGGAATGGGATTGGGGCATGCATATCTATGGTATGACAAAATTAAGGTGCATAGGGCCTTTAAGAATCATATTGTCAGAAAAGCACTGTACAATGTCTGGATAAGATATAAAGATTTCTTGGAAAATAAAACCCCTAGATGGTTGTCACCTCTGGAGGCTAAGGCATTCAAAAAGCCCAATATGGAGGCCGAATGGCCAAAGTATTGGGAAATTTTGGAACAAGATGGAGACAAATTGAAATTACAGAGTCATGAGAAAATGAAACATAAAGTACATGATTGGCTCCATTATTATCAAATAATGGAGGTTTATAAACAAGATAGGAGAATTGGCTTCCAGGTGGAGAAATCAAAATTAGAAACTGAATTGTTAGAACCCAATACTAAGAACTTGTCAAGAATGTACAATTTGCTGCTGAAATGGAATACGCAAGATGAAACAGTTAAATCGGCTATGATTAAGTGGGCACAGGACATTGGTCATAACATTATGTTTGCTGACTGGGAATGGTTGTGGAATACCGGTATAAAATTTACGGCCTGTAATGCTTTAAAGGAAAATATCATGAAAATGATCTATAGGTGGTACATGACCCCAGTCAAGCTAGCAAAAATTTATCACCTGCCTGACAATAAGTGTTGGAAATGTAAAGAAATTGAAGGTACTTTCTATCACCTTTGGTGGACGTGCCCGAAGATTAAGGCTTTCTGGGATATGATATACAATGAAATGAAAAAGGTACTTAAATGTACTTTTCCTAAAAAACCAGAGGCCTTTCTCTTGGGCATTGTCGGCCAATTGGTGTCAAAGAAAGATAGAATTTTCTTTATGTATGCTACGACAGCAGCAAGAATACTCATCGCAAAGTACTGGAAGACACAAGATCTACCCACTCTGGAAGAGTGGCAGATGAAAGTGATGGACTATATGACACTGGCTGAGATGACCGGCAGAATCCGCGATCAGGGGAAGGAGACAGCGGAAGAAGAATGGAAAAAAATTAAAATTTATCTTAAGGACTACTATAAACTCGATGAATGTTAGAATGTTGAGGTTTTGAGAAAGAAAGGGTTACAGTGATATAAGAGTAGATTGAAGGAAAGATTAAGATGACAGAGGCTTGACAGAAATATTTAGAAGTTGCTAAAAAACTTTGGACATTGGGATGCAGAAAGGGGAGGTATGGGGGAGTCTGAGAAACAAGGTTTATGAAAAAAAGGTTATGAAATTATGCGTGTTTGTATGTCTTTTTATATGTTTGTGTTGTTTTAAAAATTTTGTAAAACCAATAAAAATTTTATAAAAAAAAGGGGGGGGATTGGGGCTGCTCCGATGGGAAGGGAGGCATTGTGTTGTCCAAGCCCTGCCACCGTCGCCGTTCTCAGTCCTCCTTTTCCACCATCCATGCCTGAACCACCGCACACCTCTTCCCCCCACACTACCACCAAAGAACCAAGAACTCAGGGGCTGCTCAGGCTCATGGAGAAAAGAGATAGAAGCCTTGGAGGAAGGGGAAACGTAGAGGTTGAGGTCAAGGTGGCAGCTGCCCCTCTACCACCGCCATTGCTGCATCATCAACAACCCAAATGTGTAGTATTTATTTATTTACTTAAAGTGTCCCTGGAGTCATTGAAAAAAATCTGGTAACCTTATTATAGAGGAACATTTTTCGCCTGACACCTAAAGCTATTTAGCAAAAGCACCAGGCTAGCTTCTCTGGGGAGAGCATTGAAGAAGAAGAAGAAGAAGAAGAAGAAGAAGAAGAAGAAGAAGAAGAAGAAGAAGAAGAAGAAGAAGAAGAGGAGTTTGGATTTGATATCCCACTTTATCACTACCCGAAGGAGTCTCAAAGCGGCTAACAATCTCCTTTCCCTTCCTCCTCCACAACAAACACTCTGTGAGGTGAGTGGGGCTGAGAGACTTCAGAGAAGTGTGACTGGCCCAAGGTCACCCAGCAGCAGCATGTGGAGGAGCGGAGACGCGAACCCGGTTCCCCAGATTACGAGTCCACCACTCTTAACCACTACACCACACTGGCTCTCAACAAGCAGGGAGCCATTGCAGGAAAAGCTCGTTCTCCTGTTGTCACCCTCCAGACCTCTTGTGGAGGAGGCACACAAAGAAGGACCTCGGATTGCGATTGCAGGGTCCGCGTTGGTTCATATGGGATCCTTGAGGCATTGTGGTCCTGAGCCATTTAAGGCTTTATAGGTCAAAACCAGCCCTTTGAATTGGGCCCAAAAACTAATTTGCAGCCAAGACAGTTGGGCCAGGATCGGTGTTCTATGCTGAAAACATCTCGCCGCTGAATTCTCAACCAGCCGAATTTTCTGAACTGTCATCAAAGGCAGTCCCATGCATAGAATAGAATATTTGTATTGTATATTTGTGTCTACAGCAAGACTCCATTTCTTTCAAGCCCCCATTTTGGAAGCATGGCAATGGACTATCAGTCTAAGGCCACGTCATAAGAGATGGGGGGCAGAGGAGGGGGGACATGTTTCCATTTCTATGCCATAGTCTACCACTAGAGATCTAGGCAGGTCTATCGTGTAGATTTGTTTTTGTTTCTTTAAAAGATCTGACAAAAATATACATGGTATTATATAAAAACCTGGAATTACCTCATTTGCTCCTAACTTTAGTAGCTGAAAGTTAAGGCTAATTCAACACCCCCATCCCCAAAAACCGTTACTTAAAATGCTTCCACACAACACTTACCAACAAGTGGAGTAATAGCAGATGTGAACACGGAACTGCTCTGAACAACAAAAGTCATGAAAGCACCAACTACCATGGCCATGTATCCTGTCAGCCAAGCAAATGGATAAGGAATCAATGTACTGTAGATGCCAACACTGCCCATCCCTTCCATTTTTCATCTCCTGTTGCTTCCAATATCTTGCAGTACTCAGTGTTCGGCACGCAATTCCGATCATGATGGGAGCCAATATTGGTACTTCCGTCACAAACACCGTTGTGGCACTTATGCAAGCTGGAGACAGGAACCAGTTTAGAAGGTACCAGTGCTTTAAACTTAAGCTATAATCGATTATAGGAGCAGGTTGTGATATTTAACTATAGAAATTCCCAAAATGTATGCAATGACATTTTTATTTATGCTGCATTACACTATTGCATGATATTCTGTGAACCCCCCTGAGATCTTTTGATGAAGCATGGTATATAAATTTGATTAAACAGTTTCTTTTACTGGGCAGTTGAGAAAAACACTGATTGCTTCCTATATTATCTATAAAATTAAAATAGTAAACAAATAAATTAAAGTACGTCACTCTGTTTTCCGCCTTTCTCACCCTGCCCTCAGTGGCTACGTGCTTAAGACAACTCCTCTTAGCACACAAGAATACATTATGCATCTGCAAAATGTGCAGTGATCGGGCTAGATGAATATTGGTTGAAGCCTTGCAACAGTACTAATATGCAGGGGTGAAGTATCCCCTGAAATATGGGCCTTTATAGTCTGGGGGCCCTTGAGCACAGGATAGCAGTGAGTCCCTCAGCCATTCCATTTCTCCTCATACCATGTCCCCCTCCTTGACCCATTGAAACTAAAATCGTTGTTGCCCAGTAGGGCAGTTCTCTGTGGTCAAAGAAAAACACGAGCATTACTATTTCACTAGTTGCCTTTTTTAAAAAAAATGTTAACAGTATAACATCCTACAATACTTACAAGCAACTAACATGACGAGTGAAAGCACCTTCTTGTATAGGGTGCATCTGAACTGAGCAGTAAAGGGACCCCTGACCATTAGGTCCTGTTGTGACCGACTCTGGGGTTGCGGCGCTCATCTTGCTTTATTGGCCGAGGAAGCCAGCGTACAGCTTCGGGGTCATGTGGCCAGCATGACTAAGCCACTTCTGGTGAACCAGAGCAGCACACAGAAATGCCGTTTACCTTCCCGTCGGATGGGTACCTATTTATCTACTTTCACTTTGACGTGCTTTCGAACTGTTAGGTTGGCAGGAGCTGGGACCGAGCAACGTGAGCTCACCCCATCGTGGGGATTCAAACTGTCGACCTTCTGATCGGCAAGTCCTAGGCTCTGTGGTTTAACCCATATCACCACTGAGCGGTAGCACAGCTAATTGTGCGGGGGAAGAGTTTGTGGTCTTATTTAGATGAATGAACTTTGTGTTGTTCCTGTGTCCATATGACTGCCACACCTTGTGTGGTGGAGCATGTGCTCCTTTCATTATCTGCACATCAGTGCTGCTTGTTTGTGTATTGTGCCCTGGGATTGTGAGATTGACGTCACAAATAAATCTTCTTAAGCCAAATCATATCTACCCTACATTTGTACAGTAACCTTTTTAAACAGTCCTTATCATAAAACAGCGTTGTGAGATTGGTCGTTATTAATCTTTTATTACTGAATCCAAGAATTAATAATTTGCCTGATGATTGTTTTATCAATCGGTGGTTGCTTGGGAGTCCTCAGAGTTTACCTGATGGGGTTTTATCAGATGCTGCACAGTTTCTTTAACTGACTTTGAGCATTGGTGCCATTGCCTGTTGAAGTTGTCCCAGGCTATCTGCACCACATAGCAAACATCGTTGTGCTTTTCTCTCTGCATACTTGCAAACGAAGCAGACATTTTGAGACAGGGCTGCCGACTCTGTAGGGACGAGTTGTCTTTGGCCCCCACAATATCCGATGGGAGGGAGGCTGGGCCCCCTCAGTGATGAGGGGGCAAAGAGGCCAAGCCAAGCACAGTATGGTTTCAGTGCCCAGCTCCACCTGAGTGTGAGAGAGGAGGAGCCGCTGGCCACCCCCAAAATGTGACATCGCACATGCACCACATGCCAGACACGTGATATCACAAGTGTGCATTGTGCGGCAGGCCCCCTCAATCTTGGGCGCAACTTGATGCATCTGTTTTGAAGGCAGCATAGGTTTCCAGTGCTCTCTCCTCAGTTGTGAACCAGGACTAAGTAGCACCACTCCTGAGAAGCGGCTTAGTCATGCTGGCCACATGACCCGGAAGTTGTACACCGGCTACCTCAGCCAGTAAAGCGAGATGAGCGCCGCAACCCCAGAGTTGTCCGCGACTGGACCTAATGGTCAGGGGTCCCTTTACCTTTGAGGGACGTGAATGGTGCTGTAGGTTAAACCACAGAGCCTAGGGCTTGCCGATTGGATGGTTGGCGGTTCGAATCCCTGTGACGGGGTGAGTTCCCGTTGTTCGGTCCCTGCTCCTGCCAACCTAGCAGTTCGAAAGCACGCAGTGCAAGTAGATAAATAGGTACCTAAACAGCGTTTCTGTGCACTGCTCTGGTTCACCAGAAGCAGCTTAGTCATGCTGGCCACATGACCCGGAAGTTGTACACCTGCTCCCTCGGCCAATAAAGCGAGATGAGTGCTGCAACCCCAGAGTCGTCCACGACTTGCCATCTGTGGAAGCCAAGAATGCTCAGCAATAGGAAGCGTGAGCACTGAGGTGGCAAATTTGCTCTCTTGTTCTTAATCCAGACCCTCCAAGTGTCCCTGTGTTCCAGGGACAGTCCTAGATTTACAGAAGTCTTCCCGGTTTCTGATTTGATCCCAGAATGCCCCACTTTTCCTTAGGACTTCCCTAGATTCATCAGAGAGGTGTTGCAGGGTATATTAATCTTCCATGATAAAGAGTAGATTACTTGCTCTTTTCTCTAATAAGAATGTTAATTTACCTTTCTTTGGTGTCTTCCAGCATGTGGGTTTACCCTTTTGTCTTCCTTTGCTTTTTCTGCAGAGCCTTTGCTGGAGCAACAATCCACGATTTCTTCAACTGGCTGTCAGTGGCTGTCCTATTGCCTATTGAAGTGGCCACACACTATCTTTATCACCTCACCAATGTCATTATGAACTCATTTCAGCTTGAAAGTGGGGAAGATGCCCCTCAGCTGCTGAAAGTGATCACTGATCCACTTACAAAACTTATAATCCAGGTAGGCGCTTTCCTCGGTTAGTTAATAATTGCCGAAGCATCTTTAGGTACTCAGATATGACTTGTCCCTCCCTAATAGTATTGTCGTTCTTATGGAGGGAAGGCTTCTGAGCAGACGTTATTGTTATTCCCATGAGTTAGTGCACTTTGCCTTCATAGCTTGACTTCAAAGTATAAGAGAGAAAACAGGATCAGTAGCTGAGAACTGATTATAAACCCTCTCTCTCTTTCTCTCTCTCTCGTATTTTTTGTGTGTGTATAAAACGCCCCCTATTTTTAGGGACTCCAATTTAAGAAAATAGGGACTCCAACTTAATAAAATAGGGTTGAGATTGCCCCATGTATAAGACAACCCACAGTTTTACACATAATTCTAAAGAAAAAAAACCCCGAGTCTTATACACGGAAAAGTACGGTGTTCCAGTTTCCTGACATAATAAACATGAAAGCCTCACAACATTACAATAAAAATAGATTAGAATTGGTTGGAAGGAGTCGTGGAGGTGAGCCTAAGCAAGCTCTGTGAAACACAGAAAATTCAGTGCTTGAGCATCCAAAACTAATGGATGAATATTTTCAGCAAAGGGAGTCTACCCCACCAGCCCTGGTCGTAGGTTCCAGTGTCGAACAGCTGTTAGGGAATTTCTTGCAAGTAGTGCAGATAACCACTTGCCCCTGGCCAGGTTTTAAATGAGACCATTCCTATCTGCCTAGCTTGCCCCGGATAGTGTTATTTGGTTCTAGTAGAGTGTGACAAAGAGATGGAACTTAGGAGGAACGTATTATTAAATGATGCAATAAACCAAACCTTATTTTCCATTTGCTTTAACAGCTTGATAAATCGGTGATAAGTGCAATTGCTACAGGCGACGAGGAAGCAAAGAACAAAAGCCTAGTGCTAACGTGGTGCGAAACCAAGACCGAAGTGGTAAGTATTATGTTCCTGTGTTCCATAATGTACATTAGATGTTGTATCGTCATTAAATAAGCAGACTACGAACCTCCAGAAGGGGAGGCTTTACCCAGCCTCAAAAAAATAATAGTCCTGAAATTGGCTTTACAATTCTTCTTTCAAAGATTATAAATATTGCGTTGGGGTGTCATATCACTGCTTTACAGCTACTGAAATCTAGATCTTTTAAACACAATTTTATTCTAATTTGATTAATACCAAACTTTTTATTACATTTGTTTGTTATGAAACAATTTAAGAAATAAAAAATAGGGAAGGGAAGACCTCCCAGGGTGAGAGACGAGGATTAAGAGCTAAGAGAGAGAGAGAGAGGAAGGAAGGAAGGAAGGAAGGAAGGAAGGAAGGAGGAAAAGGAAGGAAGGAAGGAAGGAAGGAAGGAAGGAAGGAAGGAAGGAAGGAAGGGAGATCCCTTCATACTACTTAGCATTTGTATAATGCTTTAGAGTGTTCAAATACATCCAAGCTCTGCTTGGCAAGATAGATTAATAATAATAATAATATTAGCCTCATTAATAGAATACTTTTCATTATGATGAGTGTGGGAGGGAGGCCAAGAGAGGACTCATCCATTAGAGGTATCCTACTTTCACAACATGGTTGGATAGTGTCTTCGAAGCTACCAGCATGAGTTTGACCAAACTGTGGGAGGCAGTGGAAGACAGGAGTGCCTGGCGTGCTCTGGTCCATGGGGTCACGAAGAGTCGGACACGACTAAACCACTAAACAACAACAACAACTTTCACAACTGTAATGAGTTCTTTTGAGATGTGCAATAGATCATTACAAAAAAACACCCTGAGATCTTTCCCAGTATGCATCTGTACTGGAATTGTTTTAAATACGTTAATAATAATAATTATTATTATTTCATCACATGTTTGGCAACGCTGGGCTCCTTTGCAGGGAAAGGGTGAGATTACAAGTTTAGTAAATAAATAAATGTGGAGTGTTTATTTCATTGCTCTGCTTTATTTGTTGATGTCTAGGATCCAATGAATGTTACTATCCCACCGTGGGAAAATTGCACCTCCCCAGACCTCTGTTGGAGAGATGGAAACTTGACCTGGACGATACGAAATATATCCACCACAGAATATATTAAAAAATGTAAGTAAAACGCCGCTTTTTGTAGCTCCTAACGTGGGCTCTCGAGTCCAGCAGCCCATCTCTGCCCCTTGCATTGTAATACCTCTTCGCAGAGACGGCGCAATATAAAATATTATGGCTCTCTTTCAATGGGTGTGATTCAAACGTTGCAGTGGTGCCATTCTGATCAAAGGTATGCCTGTACAAAAATGAAATGTGCAGTGTGTGAGAGAGGGTTGTAGGGGAGGCGCTATAATCTTGGCTGGGGAATTTTTCCAGCACTGGAAAATTGTAGAGGCAATACACCAAAACTAGTTGTGGTGCACTGAAAGACTGTGATTGCTGTCCAACTATCTTTCATCTAAGGCAGTCTTAAAATAAGTCTGTTTTGTGAGACACATCAAGTGAGGCAAAACACAACAGTGCTGTGAACTGGTTTAAATATTACCACCCACTATGGAAGCGCTGCCGAAAAGCTCCTGGTAATACTATCTAAAGGGTTAGTCTTTGTATTGATTGATAATTGATTATTTATTCATTCATTTTATTTCCCAGAATCATAGAATCGTAGTGATGTCCATCAGCTATACTGCTTTATATTTTTAAGGAACCGGAATAATAATGTAGGTTTACAAACCTACATTAAAGCATCAAATAAGACCAACCCAGAATAAAACACTTCAGAAGAAAATCAGATATAAAGTATACAGTCAAAGCAACATAATTAACAGGAAACTAAAATTATTTTATTTTCCTGTTTAGGGAAGCTTTTAATGTTTGATGTATTACAGTATATTAATATTTTTTTTGGAAGCCACCCAGAGTGGCTGGGGAAGCCCAGCCAGATGGGTGGGGTACAAATAATATATTATTATTATTATTATTATTATTATTATTATTATTATTATTATTATTACAAAGAACGTAGAGAATGCAAAAGTAATGCAGCAAAGTTAACAAAAAAGTCACCTTAACATTTTGAAATAAAACATTACTAAAGGACATCAGATATAAAATGCACATTGGAAACAGCATAATTAGCAAGAGAATAAAGTATTATCTTTTCTAATATTAATATTTTACTGAAAGAATGTCAAATATGAAGAAAAAAAGTGATACAGAGAAAAAATGGGGAAGGTGAGGGGAAAGGATGTGTATAAGAAAATATATACATATATACAAAAATGCAATGTAATTAAGTATTACCTTAAGCATAGAACATGGGTAGACAAACTAAGGCCCGGAGGCCAGATCCGGCTCAATCGCCTTCTAAATCTGGGCCGCGGAGGGTCCTGGAATCAGCATGTTTTTACATGAGTAGAATGTGCCCTTATATTTAAAATACATCTCTGGGTTATTTGTGGGGCCTGCCTGGTGTTTTTACATGAGTAGAATGTGTCCTTTTATTTAAAATGCATCTCTGGGATATTTGTGGAGCATAGGAATTCATTAATTTCCCCCCCCAAAAAATATAGTCCGCTCCCCTACAAGGTCTGAGGGACAGCCCCCTGCTGAAAAAGTTTGCTGATCCCTGGCATAGAACGTATCTGCTGCTATTGCTGCCAGTCTGCCCATGGCAGTTCAGTGTGGGCAGCGGCTGTGGAAGTTCAGACTTGATGACCTGGGTTTGCACTCAGAGACAGCCAAGTCTAGTAGTTCTTCAATGCCAGGCATGTTCAATGCGTCGATTGCGATCGATCAGTTGATCGTGGGATGAATGTTCGTAGATCGTGTGCCTGCCCACCCTGCACTCATCCCTGGGTGGTAGATCACTGCCAGTTTTTATATTAGATCGTAGATCACAGCTTACTTCAAGTTGGACATGCCTGTTCTATGCCATCGATGTTGTCAAAACCGCAAAAGTTCAAATGCAACGTAAAACATGCAGTGTATCTCATCTAGCTGCCCCAGTGCATGCCAGAATAAGAAGACCCCTTGGGAAATACAGTGGTACCTCGGGTTAAGTACTTAATTCATTGCGGAGGTCCGTTCGTAACCTGAAACTGTTCTTAACCTGAAGAACCACTTTAGCTAATGGGGCCTCCCAGTCCTGCTGCACTGCTGGAGCACGATTTGTGGTCTAATCCTGAAGCAAAATTCTTAACCTGAGGTACTATTTCTGGGTTAGCGGAGTCTGTAACCTGAAGCGTATGTAACCCGAGGTACCACTGTACAGTCATACCTCAGGTTACAGCCGCTTCAGGTTGCATTTTTTTCGGGTTGCGGACCACCGAAACCCAGAAGTACCGGAACGGGTTACTTCCAGGTTTCGGTGGTCGCGCATGCGCAGAAGTGCTAAATCGCGCTTTGCAAATGTGCAGAAGTGCGGAATTGTAACCTTCACATGCACAGATGCGGGTTGCGAACGTGCATCCCGCACGGATCACGTTCACAACCCGAGCGTCCACTGTATAGCATTGTTATATTTTGGATGGATAGATATAGGAAAAGGTTTTTTTTGTTATCATTGTTTCCACATGCAGCATCGCCATGGAGGTGAGGGGAGTTGCACTTGCATGGGGAATAACATGCAAACTTGACAGCTCCCAGAGCAGACTAATTGTGTGTGTGTGTAACAAAAATTTTTGTATCTCTCCTCCTCCTATAGGTAATCATATTTTTGTAGACTCGGGTCTCTCAGAAACTGCCGTCGGCCTCATTCTCCTTGCCTTCTCGCTGCTCTCTTTGTGCGTTTGCCTAATACTCATCGTTAAATTACTGAATTCCGTCCTGCAAGGACAAGTAGCAAATATTATCAAGAAGACATTCAACACGGGTAACAATCTCTCTCTTTCTTTTTACTACATAGCCTAACAAATAGAAATACGTTAAGCACAATGTATAATGGCTTTTCTTGTCCATAATGCAGTGGAATCAATAAAAGCTAGTGCAACATGTACCCAGTGGGTCATATATTTTTGTCTCTGGAGGAACAGAACGGTTTTTATCCAGCTCTCGTCCCTGGTCATAAGTGGCCAGGCAAGCCCATTCTGTCAAATGTCATATTTGGACTTTTCAAGGCAAAATCCAAAACAACAACAACAACAACAACAAAAACACACCTGCATATTTTTATTTTCATTTTTAACTATAAAGCGCTTAGAAAGTGGTCTGAGGGCTTCCATGGCTCTTTCTCTTTCCTTCTTAAAAATCATTTGCTGCTGCTTGCCAGGCTTGTTAAAAACTTTTGACCAATAAGTCCCTGGAAGCAACAGTATGCTATGAAGTACCTTCTCTCTGTTGGTAATTGTATGGAGAAAAAAAACCCAGTTGCTTCTATGTACCTGTGGGGATGAGTTTACAGGGACACTGTATGGGGGAGAAAAAAGATGGCTGCCTGATCCATTGGATGCAGACCAGGAAGGTTCACTCCAAATTGTGGAGCAAACTGAAATATTTCCCCATTCCTGCTTTTGCCTGTACCTATATATCACCAAGGGACGCGGGTGGCGCTGTGGGTTAAACCACAGAGCCTAGGACTTGCCGATCAGAAGGTCGGCGGTTCGAATCCCCATGACGGGGTGAGCCCATGTTGCTTGGTCCCTGCTCCTGCCCACCTAGCAGTTCGAAAGCACGTCAAAGTGCAAGTAGATAAATAGGTACCACTCCGGCGGGAAGGTAAACAGTGTTTCTGTGCACTGCTCTGTTTCGCCAGAAGCAGCTTAGTCATGCTGGCCACATGACCCGGAAGCTGTACACCGGCTCCCTTGGCCACTAAAGCGAGATGAGTGCCGTAACCCCAGAGTCAGTCGCGACTGGACCTAATGGTCAGGGGTCCCTTTACCTTTTTATATATCACCAAATGAAAAGGACTGGGCTGCAAAGAGGGGGGAAATGTTAGAAGCCCTACAATTTTTTTGTCACTCATCATACATTCATGAAACTGCATGGAAGCTGCTTCCTGTGTTCCTTTTCCATTTGGATATGTGAGTTTTCCCAACCAGTTGGCAATTTTTCTTTTCCTGAGGGGCCAGTTGGGTGGAAGAGACCCATCTGTTTGGCCTTTACAGCATTTGTACACTTACTGAAGTAGCAGATCAGAAGTATAGGGCAGGATGTTTGTGAAAGAAACTTTATTCTGCAGTAAATTTATGAGGCAGGGGATATTTCAGCCTCACCCAGTAAAGTATCCCTCAACCTGATTCAAATAATATATAATGGTTGCACTCCAAGCTCTGTGATTCAGAAGGTAGGGTGCCAAGCAGGAAAAGGCAACAAATGTACTTTAAACTTTCCAAACACAGAAAGTGTTCTATGAGGCAAGCATACCTAGCAGACAAGTCACCACCTTTTAGCTTCTTATTTCAGGTAAAGATCAAATGACTTTCAAGTTTTCTGGCAAGTGGTTTAAGTAGGGCACCTTGGTGTTTAGCTAAACAGTTCCACACATAATTTTGAACAGAATATTCTGACTCTGGTGCCTCCTTTACTTTTGTTTTCCAGATTTTCCTTATCCGTTTGCTTGGCTGACAGGATACATGGCCATGGTAGTTGGTGCTTTCATGACTTTTGTTGTTCAGAGCAGTTCCGTGTTCACATCTGCTATTACTCCACTTGTTGGTAAGTGTTGTGTGGAAGCATTTTAAGTAACGGTTTTTGGGATCGGGGTGTTGAATTAGCCTAACTTTCAGCTACTAAAGTTAGGAGCAAATGAGGTAATTCCAGGTTTTTATATAATACCATGTATATTTTTGTCAGATCTTTTAAAGAAACAAAAACAAATCTACACGATAGACCTGCCTAGATCTCTAGTGGTAGACTATGGCATAGAAATGGAAACATGTCCCCCCCTCCTCTGCCCCCCATCTCTTATGACGTGGCCTTAGACTGATAGTCCATTGCCATGCTTCCAAAATGGGGGCTTGAAAGAAATGGAGTCTTGCTGTAGACACAAATATACAATACAAATATTCTATTCTATGCATGGGACTGCCTTTGATGACAGTTCAGAAAATTCGGCTGGTTGAGAATTCAGCGGCGAGATGTTTTCAGCATAGAACACCGATCCTGGCCCAACTGTCTTGGCTGCAAATTAGTTTTTGGGCCCAATTCAAAGGGCTGGTTTTGACCTATAAAGCCTTAAATGGCTCAGGACCACAATGCCTCAAGGATCCCATATGAACCAACGCGGACCCTGCAATCGCAATCCGAGGTCCTTCTTTGTGTGCCTCCTCCACAAGAGGTCTGGAGGGTGACAACAGGAGAACGAGCTTTTCCTGCAATGGCTCCCTGCTTGTTGAGAGCCAGTGTGGTGTGGTGGTTAAGAGTGGTGGACTCGTAATCTGGGGAACCGGGTTCGCGTCTCCGCTCCTCCACATGCTGCTGCTGGGTGACCTTGGGCCAGTCACACTTCTCTGAAGTCTCTCAGCCCCACTCACCTCACAGAGTGTTTGTTGTGGAGGAGGAAGGGAAAGGAGATTGTTAGCCGCTTTGAGACTCCTTCGGGTAGTGATAAAGTGGGATATCAAATCCAAACTCCTCCTCCTCCTCTTCTTCTTCTTCTTCTTCTTCTTCTTCTTCTTCTTCTTCTTCTTCTTCTTCTTCTTCAATGCTCTCCCCAGAGAAGCTAGCCTGGTGCTTTTGCTAAATAGCTTTAGGTGTCAGGCGAAAAATGTTCCTCTATAATAAGGTTACCAGATTTTTTTCAATGACTCCAGGGACACTTTAAGTAAATAAATAAATACTACACATTTGGGTTGTTGATGATGCAGCAATGGCGGTGGTAGAGGGGCAGCTGCCACCTTGACCTCAACCTCTACGTTTCCCCTTCCTCCAAGGCTTCTATCTCTTTTCTCCATGAGCCTGAGCAGCCCCTGAGTTCTTGGTTCTTTGGTGGTAGTGTGGGGTGAAGAGGTGTGCGGTGGTTCAGGCATGGATGGTGGAAAAGGAGGACTGAGAACGGCGACGGTGGCAGGGCTTGGACAACACAATGCCTCCCTTCCCATCGGAGCAGCCCCAATCCCCCCCCTTTTTTTTATAAAATTTTTATTGGTTTTACAAAATTTTTAAAACAACACAAACATATAAAAAGACATACAAACACGCATAATTTCATAACCTTTTTTTCATAAACCTTGTTTCTCAGACTCCCCCATACCTCCCCTTTCTGCATCCCAATGTCCAAAGTTTTTTAGCAACTTCTAAATATTTCTGTCAAGCCTCTGTCATCTTAATCTTTCCTTCAATCTACTCTTATATCACTGTAACCCTTTCTTACCACCAAAGTTGTGACGTTTTGCTACGGGAAAGGCAAACCTGCCAATGCAGGAGAATTCCTTTCCAGCACTTCAACAGTGACCTTGACGTAGCAGCGCCCGCGTACCTGCGAAGAAAAGGTTAACTTGCAAAAGAAGTCTTAACTGAGGGTGGGTAGGATGGGAGAAGCTCTGGAGACAACTGATGATTCCCAGGTAAGATCCTCCCCCTATTGTGTGGGCAGGTAGTCCTTTCCCCTACCTGGCCTGATCACCTTGGCAACGCCTCCTCAGGCGGGATTGGGCAACTGGCTGAGGTAGGCGGAGACTTCCAGGTATCCCACCTGGGGAAGGCGAAGCCAAGCCTGTGCTAATGGTGCCGCATAGGATCCAGGGGGCTGCGCATGACCACGTTAAGGGTGCCCCCCATTTAATGTGGGGAGCGGTCATTACTTGGACTTTGTTATTTAAACTCATGTTGCAACAACTTATTCTGTGTGCCTATTTTAGAGTTTTGTTTTGCATGTTTTAATTTTCATCTCTTAGAATTGTTCTCTCTGTTTTATATACATTATAAAATGAAATAATAATGATAATAATAATAATAATAATAATAATAATAATAATAATAAACTTTACCAAAAAAAATCAAAATAATGCAGCCAATCATCCATAAAACAACATCCATTGGCACTGACAGAATCATATGAAAACTAAAACCCCAAATGCAAGCTAAATGTATTCACCATCAGACTAAAGAGAAACTAAAATTAGAGAAATTAAAATAATATTGAGATGTTTGCACACTTGTGACAGTTCGATGAAAAATTCTAAGCCAGCAGCTGTCTCAACACAAGGGACTATGATTTCCTTTTAAATAAACTGAGACATATATCAGGGAAGGAAAGTTGAAACTTCTTTGGCAGAGGCCATTCTTGCAATTAAACGGTTGTAAAAGAACCTGAATTGCACGATAAATTATCTGGAACCTGAAGTGCACTATAAATTATCTTATTTGCCAACAGCAAGTAAACAAAAAGAGAAGTACTATGAATGCCACTGGGCACTTTACTTGTGAGAGTCGGGCTTCCCTCATTTAGCGTCAAGAACAGGAAGAAACAGTTCCATCCTCACCAGGTTAGCTTTGCTCCAGGGAACAGCCAGGTAGCTCAAGCAGCAGAGAGGACAAGAGGCAAGCTCTGGTGTATATACATAACACATTTTACATTGTGCCTTTAATAATAATAATAATAATAATAATTATTATTATTATTATTATTATTTATACCCCACCCATCTGGCTGGGTTTCCCCAGCCACTCTGGGCGGCTTCCAACAAAACACTAAAATACAATAACCTATTAAACATTAAAGGCTTCCCTAAACAGGACTGCCTTCAGATGTCTTCTAAAAGTTTGGTAGTTATCTTTCTCTTTGACATTTGGTGGGAGGGCGTTCCACAGGGTGGGTGCCACTACCAAGAAGGCCCTCTGCCTGCTTCCCTGTAACTTGGGGCTTCTCGCAGCGAGGGAACCTCAGCGCTGGACCTCAGTGTCCAAGCAGAACGATGGAGGTGGAGACGCTCCATCAGATATAATGGACTGAGCCACTTAGGGCTTTAAAGGTCAGCACCAACACTTTGAATTGTGCTCGGGAAACGTACTGGGGCCAGTGTAGGTCTTTCAAGACCGGTGTTATATGGTCTCGGCGGCCGCCCAGTCACCAGTCCTAGCTGCCGCATTCTGGATTAGTAGTTGTTCCAGGTCACCTTCAATGGTAGCCCCACGTAGAGCGCATTGCAGTAGTCCAAGCGAGAGATAACCAGAGCATGCATCACTCTGGCAAGACAGTCTGCGGGGCAGGTAGGGTCTCAGCCTGTGTACCAGATGGAGCTGGTAAACAGCTGCCCTGGACACAGAATTGACTTGGCGCCTCCATGGACAGCTGTGAGTCCAGAATGACTCCCAGGCTGCGCAACTGGTCCTTCAGGGGGCACAGTTACCCCATTCTGGACCAGGAGTCCTCCCACACCCGCCCGCCTCCTGTCCCTGAAAAACCAGCACTTCTGTCTTGTTAGGATTCAACCTCAATTGTTAGCCGCGCATCCATCCTCCAACCGTCTCCAGACACTCACACCAGTGGGTACAGATTTCTTTACCCAGGGCTTACTCCCAAAGCCTTTCTTACAAATGAGAGGATGAGGTTTAGGGTCAGAGTTGTCCTTCTGCTAGATGGGCTACCTTCCCAGTTTGACAAGCCCCCTCTGCCCCTCACTTCCCTCTGCAGCATGTGCAGAAACCACCTTCTTGATCATGGGATCCACTATTGGTCTCATCCACTCAATCCACCAGAGCCTGTCTTCGCATGCAGGGAAAGCCCTTCACTCACTGAGGGTTTGAGACCCACCAGCTACCCTCACCTGGTTTAGCCAGCCAATCGAAGCCGTTTTGACAGGGGTGTGGCGGCGCCTGCATGCTGACAGCTTCTTGGAGCCACAGGTGAGAGCCTAGTACAGGGTGGGGACCAAAGGTGGACAGAAAGAGCATGATATGTCCCCCACCAGAGATACCATTCCTCCCCTAAGACCCCATACACCCGAGCAGAAAAAACAATGCGGCAGATCAAAGAAGGTATGAAAAGAAGCTGAAGAAGCGTGTTCTCATTAAAAGAGAGCACGTGTTGTGGTGGGGGCCAGGCAAAACACCCTGCTGTTGCTAGGCATGTTTGGGATGGTTGGCCCTGGCAGGGATTGGTATCCTGAGTTACTGGGGTAATTTTGATGTTGCAAATTTGGGAGTGGGAACAGAGGTTTTTAAGCCGTGCACACAGCAATCTGCTTTCTCTTTCGCTGCATGCTTCGGATCACCCGCCCGCCCTCCCTTAATTTGGGTCTTGTGCATTGACCTTGCTATGCCTGTCATGGGGGCATCTGCCTTGGGGCAGGGGGCCTGGTAGGAAATTTTGTCCATTTGGCTGATTGGGCTGGTGCCATTTGATTTTGCCTACTGCATAGCAAATCGTCACAACTTGTAAGGTTGTGGTTAGGCATTGGTTAAAATTGGTTGGTGGAGGGGTATGATTGGCTGTGCCTGCCCCTCCAATGCTGCTTCGGAAAGGGAATTCCATTAAAGGAATCCAGGGGCTTGCCATGTTTTCGTCCAAATCCCTGGAATCGGGTTTGGACCGCGTAAGCCCCTGGGAGCATGCGGGGAGAAGCTGAGGGCCTGTGTCACAGCTCCAGTTTCTCCTCAGTATTGTTTCCCCTCACTGACTTTCACTGGAATCCGGAAGTCAGTTCTGCCCCCAGGCGGGGGGGGGGGGCAGATAGTCCTAACCAATGCCTAAGCAACCACTCACATCCATGTATGTTAATAAAGTTGTGGCCAAAATTAT